GAATACCTCATGTGTTTATGCAAAGTATACAACATGGACACCTCTGAGTTTGTTGGCATGAATGCCTATGACAAGATACAAGAACAGGACAACATGAAGGCCAGTATTCGACTTCTTAAAGAACAAGGATATAGCGCCCCCAAACAACTTCTGAGAATCCTCCTTCTCGCCTTGAGTCCTTCGGAAATGGCTATGGCAATCTCTACCGATGCAATTTCAGCTGACCTCAGCCCGACCTCAAGCTTCATGGACTACAAGACTGTGATGATAGCAACCCTGCTTACGCTGCTCTGTGGTGCATTGGCTGTTTGCTTCTACTTGCGCTTTGCACTGGGAGTTGCGAGAGGCGAGAACTTCGCCAAAGGCATGGACCAAAAGTTACATCAAGTTTTGGATATGCTTGAGTATAAAATGGGTTGGGAAATATATGAAGGAAAAGCCGAAACCCTGCAAGAGAAACGTCGCCGTTATTTGGACAGTGAGATGTGTGAAGTTTCAGATGACGAGTATTGGCGTCACATCCACTATGGGCCACCCTGGACCGATGAGCATGATCATGGAGAAGGAGAAAGATCAGAATCTCCTCTATCAGATGATCCTGCAGTTCGTCCTTCACCTTTGCCGCCTGAACTGAGACAAGCGATGAGAGAAACGAATAGTGTGTTGAGAACCAGAATCGAAAGACTGGAATGTGAATGGGATGATGCCCAGATTCACAACAACAGCTTGCTGATGGCGCAAATCGAAGGTCAAATCAGAGAAGCCCATGGAATGATGTACACCGATTTAGGTGAGACTTGAAAAGTCTTGCAAAGCTGTGTACAGAAGTTCTTTTTGAAAGGATGGATGGACATGCGATCCAAAGCCCTTTGCCGTGTAGGCTTAGCTGAAAGCCTTTTTGGATTGAAAGTTTGGAAAATCAGTCATGATCCAAAGGAATCTGACTGAGGCGGGGTGAACAACATTTCACTCCATGGAACATAGCATGGATATGCAGTACAAATGCATGTCTAAGCAGTTTAGCATGTTTTGACATGGAAAGACTTCATGTCATGTCAGTTGCAATACATGTCCAATTCATGTGTCAACTATGGATGTTACCGTAGGCGTTTTTGTGCGAGGATCAAAAGGGCGCTGCCAATCAGTTTGACACTTACTAGCAGTCTAGCAGGGCCGTTTTTCTATCGCTCACCATGGAAGGGAATGAACTTAAGATAGGAATCAGCTCTATGTCACTTGGGCCTAATGCCACCACTAAACCTCGGCAAACCTGACAAAACTCAGCGAACACCGCAAACCCGGCAAACCCAGCAAACCCCGGCAAACCCGGCAAACCCACAAAAACAGAGGAAAGTACCGGCAGTTTGCATACACTCGACTTAGAATCGTGCTAAATGGCACGAACCGAAATGACAGAATTTGTCACACCCTGTTTTTCACCTTAAAAAAATTTATATATGTTATATATATAATCTATAATTTATATTTCATATAGTTATAGTATATTGCAACATATATAATCATATATATATATACACATTATATTCAATAAATATTATATATATATGAGTGATTTATATTTATATTTCTATTTCTATTTATATTTATATTTATATTTACATTATATATAATAAAATATATAATATAATATATAATAATATAATATAGTATAGTATAATATAATATAATATAAGATTTAATTTAATATAATATTTAATATAATATAAGATTTAATTTAATATAATATTTAATATAATATAAGATTTAATTTAATATAATATTTAATTTATCTAATATTTAATATATTATAATATTTAATATAATATAATATTATATTTAATATAATATTTAATATAATATAATATTTAAAATAATATAATATAATCTTTAATATAATATAAAATTTAATATAAAATAATATTTTATTTAATATAATATTTTATATAATTTAATATTTAATACAATTTAATATTTAATATAAAATAAAATAAAATAATATAATATAATAAAATATAATATAATATACTATAGTATAATACAATATAATATGATATGATATATTATTATATTAATTTATATTTTATTAAATATTATATTAAATTAAATATTATATTATATTAAATATTATATTATATACAATATTGTATTATATTAAATACTATATTATATTATATTATATTAAATTCCATTATATTATATATTAATATTATATTTTATTATATTATATTATTTTTATATCATATATAATGCTATATGACGTAGAATGACCCGTCCCCACCTTCCCAAACAGAACCCGCATATGTGGTTCAAAACAGACCTTCCCCCCCAAAAAAACCCTAAATTGCTCGTTGAGAACCAACTTCCGCCCCCAAACGAACCGTAAATGGCTAGTTACGGCTAGTTGCGAACGAACCCCCCCAAACGAACCTTTCAATGAGAACCAACCTTTCCCTGCACCCTAACAACGCCTAAATGGGTAGTAGTTGAGAAACAAAGTTTCCTAGATTAGGAAAATGGTACTAATAGCTATGAGGGCTGAATGAACCGTTCCAACCTTTTCAAAAAAATTGAAATAATGTAAGTAGAACGACCCCGCCCCACCACCTTCCCAAACAAACCCTAAATGGCTGGTTCAAAACAACCTCCTCCCAAATAAACGCTAAATGGCTAGTTGAGAACAATGTGTCCCAAGACCTTCAAAAAACTATTATGAACTATTAGACTGAAATGAACCATTCCATCCCGTGAAGGTCAGCGGAAATCATGAGGTAGGGTGGAATGTGAAGTGTGAACCGGAGTGGGCTGAATTGGAATAAGGTCGAATGTGTGTATCAGGTAGGGTCCAATGTGAGGTCTGTACGTATTATGTGCGTGACTGTTACGTTTTACAATTGTTATTGGGGTAACTGTGCATGTCACCCGGTGAATCGATGTAGACAAATTCAGGCAGTGAAAAAGGATTGCGAACTGTCAGCGTTTGCATTCCAATGCGTGTTCGACAACATGTTTCATGAACTGTGTTGGTTTGATTTTGCGTTGCAGGAATTTAATCTATGCTAGTCGTGCCAATTATTTAGGTTCAGCATAGACTTGCCTATCCACAAACTAAAACAAATATTTGCGGAGCGGGCGAGTGTGTGGGGGTTCGCTGCTGACTCGTTGACTGGTTTGATTCCATACACCCATGTACGGTGTTTTGGGTGACTTTATGGGAATATTCTGAACAAAAATCGGCAGAATTGGGTGACTCAATTGGTCCATCAAGCTTAAAGACCTCAATAGGCGTTTTTGACCTTCCATTTGTTTTTTGAACCGCCATAAACGCATATTAGGGTCCCCAACCAAGAGTTACATGCTAAAGCTCATATTATTAATTAATGAGGCCAAAAACTGGGGTCTCACGAAACTTACTGTCATCCCGATGCGACCAGAATACAAGTTGCGGGAAACAGTGTCGCCAAATGTGTAATGTGACCCTTTGACACAAATGACACAAATTATTCACCCCGCTTCGCGTGGGGTGGCCGCCCACACCGCAGGTTTATTTCGGTCCGTGAGAGGGGCTAAGGGTGGTTTTCCCCCGTGGGGGCTCCCCAAGCTAAGAAGTTTCACTTCCCCCCCCCGTGGGGGGCTCCCCAAGCTAAGGAATTTTCACTTTTCCCCCCCGTGGGGGCTCCCCAAGCTAGGGAATTTTCACTTTCCCCCCCGTGGAGGCTCCCCAAGCTAGGGAATTTTCACTTTTCCCCCCCGTGGGGGCTCCCCAAGCTAGGGAATTTTCACTTTTCCCCCCCGTGGGGGCTTCCCAAGCTAGGGAATTTTCACTTTTCCCCGCCGTGACAGCTTCCCAAGCTATGGAATTTTCACTTTTCCCTCCCTTGGAGGCTCTCCAAGCTGCGGAATTTCAAATAGCTAGACAACGACGCCTAGATAGTCTCCCAAATCCCGTGTTCTTTGAATGTGTTTCCATGTTTTTGCAATGGTTTCCTTCAAAGCACGGTACTTTACACTTTTGTCGCCATAAAACCGGTCGAAAACATCATGTTCGACAATGCTTCCAATTCCCTTATCTCCCCAACCGTTGAAAATACCGCTATTTACAGTGTTTTCTTCAATTTTTCCATGTGCCAATGCCGGTAGCCAACTCCAACATATATATATAAGAAATCCTTCCAAAACATTGTTTTTGACAGTGTTTTTCCAATGTTTCCAGTCAAACAGACGGTAATTTACACGTTTTTTGCCATAAAGGCAGTAAATCCTTCCAAAACATTGCTTTTGACAGTGTTTTTGTAATGTTTCCAGTCAAGCATACGGTAATTTACACGTTTTTTGCTATAACGTCAGTCCAAAACACTTGTTTTTGCAGTGTTTTCAATGCTCTGGCATCCAAAAACCCTGCAAAATCTTGCTATGTACAATGTTTTTTTCATTTTTGGCCGTTTTTCCATTGCCGGAAAGCTACCAAAATGACCCAAAATTCCATTTCAATACCCTCTTGCGCTCAGACACCCAAAAATCCTCGAAAAATGTCGAAAACACCACCGTATTCTGGTCTCGGTGCGAAACCGTTTTTGGCCCCCCCCCCCCAGCTAAAGCTGATATAGCGACTGCTATATTAACAAATGTCATTGAGCATTTAGTGTTGCTGTTGCCCCCCAATAAGCACGCCTTCACCGCCAAAGCGGTGTGGGCGGATTTCTTGTTGCACATCTGCAATGATTGCAATGTGATTCCTGTCATCCATTGCATGTGTTGACTTTATCAACACAAATGTTGCAAAAACAAACTATTTCCCAACGTGATGGAACTATGCAAAAAAAACAACCAACTCATAAACATGTTGTTGAAAAAAACATGCGATGCAGCCGCAGATTTGGTGGATATAAAAACGTCATGCTGAGAAAACATGTAGATACACACCAATTGGATGAATAGTTGCACCAAGGGCGACATGTTTGCAGTTTGGCATGTCATGTTTTGTTGCCACTCACATCAACAAAAACTGCAACAGAAACGCATGTCGGAGATGGACCCTGTGAATCATGTGAATGCAAATCAAACGTCAAGGCCGGTGACGTCAAATTGAGATGTCGTGTTTTTCTCATGTGTGTTTTCATTTATTTTGACATTTTTGCACTTGTTTCATGATTTTCCCATCAGGTGTGCCCGATGACCTCCGTAGCTGGTCAAAACGATTGGGACAAAAGGCCATCGTGACCATATCGTGACCATATCGTGACCATATGTGTTCAAACATTTTTTTTGCGTTTTCCGTATTTCCGCCCAAGTGCGTCCGCATGCGCAGGATCAAACAATTGAAGGCGTTCGTGAATTATTGAGCGATGTGGAGGCAAAAAAAAAATGCACAGTTCAATTTGTTTGCAAAAGGGTTTCAAATTTCAGTTTTTTGCGTGGTTTTTGCAATGATGATTTCCCAAACAGGTTTCCCGATTGCAACTCAACATCATCGTGGCGAACGCCGGTGTTGGTGCTCTGGCGCGACAAACTGCATGGAGAGAGACCCTCGAAAAATTGATTGAAATTCGCTGCAGGACCACGGTTGTGAATCAGTTGTGAAAATGATTTCGCCTTCAAAATGATCAGTCTCTTCCTCGGCCTGGTGGGTGGGATCCCGTTCCTTTTATGCATCTTTTCTGTTTTGATTATGCAATTGAAAACATACTCGCTGAATTTCGATTTAATGTATTTAATGCGCATTTTTGGCAACTCCACGTTGGAGTTCGCCATTTGCTTTTATGGTAGCATTATTTTTAGTTGCAACATCCACACAAAAAATAAATTGCATTCTGAATTTCACACCATGGACAGTCCAAAACTTTACGCTTGACTTATATTTTTTTCCACCAATTCTGGACAGGTTCCTTTTAGTTCGACTATCCATCTGGTGCATCAACGCATCAGGAGTCTTGAGTTGACCCAGATTAGTTTTGGTTCTTCCTTGGTTGCATTTGGTGAATCGGCAACCATTGGCCTCTTGGTTGCAACTTTCCCGGGTGCGACACGCATTGATTGATGCGTTGTGTTTGAGTTTCCAGCCTGAAAGACCAAAATTGGAAATTTTGTTTCGCCATGTCAATACAGTCGACAGTATGTCCACCGCTGAAACGTGCTGATGGAAGGTGGGTTGCCGCGAAATTTGCATTTACATAATTGGTGCTTGGCATTGAGAAGTGGAATGCGAAAGATATTCATCCAAGGATCAAGATGGCCAACGGCAACACAGATATTGATGGATATGGAAAAAATCTGGAACATGGTTCCGAGTATTATTTGCTGGAATCCTGTCCGACAATTGCAATCATTCTGCTTTGATCCCAAAATCATACCTTCGAACAAAACAATTTTGTATTTTGGTGTCATGCACTTTGGTATGCTTCTGTGTGCACATGTGCTAGGGGTTTCTTCTCACTTCGCTCGTTCAGACGTTTGTGTCAAGGAACTCATGTATTTCATCAATGCGAAGTTGGTTCCAAGCGGAACTTCTTCTGCACAGGATGGCAACTGCTCTCTTCATCATGGATAAACTATGCGACTGTGGAAGAAGACTGTTGCCGCAACAAGACACGAAAATGCTTGCTCAACAACTTCAATAGAGATCTATATGATATGGACCCCAATTTCGAACGTGGAAATTGTTCATGATTCTTGTGTTATTTGGAGGATTCCGAGCATGGGTTGTACGCCCGATTGCATTTCTTACAATGCAGCAGCTGCAACTTCACCTTGGCGTCGGTCAATATTGGAGCTGATCAAGATGCGGAGTGCTCGACTCTTTTCTCATTGGAACAACTACTTTAAACAGGTGACCAAAAATGGACAAAATGGGGTGATGTCCTCAGGGTTTCCCGGATATTCCCAAGCGTCAAAACTTTTGAGAGTCTTTGAGAGTTGGGTCTTAGCACATGTTCTCCCATCTTTGAAATTGTTTGGAAAGGATTGGGACAAGGTCTACCACACCTGGGCCACCCTTTGCTATGCATTGCTATGACTACTTTGAATACGTTTCAACTATGGAATCCGTTTTCTGCAAAGGTTGTCCAGGACGTAAAACCTGTGTTGAAGGGAAATCCTTCCAGTTGCAAATTTTGATCAAATTGGTGCAACAGCTGCGCATGCTGTGGCATCTAAGGAGTGAGGCCAAGTGCCAACACCCCAGAGCATCAGCCCACTGTGGCCTCACACAGCAATGGTTTGCATCTTGCCAAAACCTTCACCGAATGCAGTTCTTTTTTCTTGCCTAGGTGGTGACATACAACACCCTTCTGCATACTTGCCAGGCACGAAAGTGCCATTGTATTTTCTACCTGCATGCGTTTTGGGAGCTTTGTAGAAAAGTGTGGGTAGGATTTCACAAAGTTTGGAACATGAAATATCCGACAAGAGTGACTTACTACAGTTTTATGAAGCTTTGCTCCCATCGTTACAGCCTGTTTCATCCTTGTCCTCAGGGCAGCCATGCGCAAGTTGCTCGAACTCTGCTGAATTGCATGAACGACGACAGACTTGAGCCAGATGTGATAACAGTGAACTCTGCCATTGGCGTCCCGGCAAGAAGTTGGGGTCAGAGTCCAAAGTCCAAAGGCTGTTGATCATTTTTTGGCATTGACTCGTGGATCAAATCTTGAGTCGTATCTATGAGAACAACAGAGAACTGGAGCTCAAGCACTGGTAGTTAGTTGATGTTAATTGAAGATATTGAACTTGAACCAGGCGCCAGTCATGATGATTGGCCTGCTGGTCTTCAATACTTGCGCGAGCTACAGGGTCAGACGGCTATGAGCGCTGGAAACGCCTTGAAGGTCGTGAAGATCAAATACCGATTATGCAATAATTGCACGCTAGAAGGATGAAGGATGGACTGATGATGAAAGCGTTCTTGGTTTATCTTGGTTTACATGACGCCCTTCTTTCTTTGACAGTTTCATCGCTAGCTGGACTCTGAGTCCTTGCATGCAACAGTCGTACGATTCACATGACTTCTGACTATGATCAAGAGTGACTGGGCAGGGAATGCAGGCAGAAACTTCTCTATCTCACTGACATTGGCATGTCACTTCATTGGTCCATATGGATAACTGCCGTGTGAGGGCAGATTCCAAGTGAAGGAATCAGTATATTAATCTTCTATTTTGTCAGATACCTCAAACATCTTCTGCAGGATGGAGAGATTTCTTAGATCAGCTTCGAGCCTGTAGGCCCTGGCCTCTGCTGTTCAATGGCGGCAAGGACTACACATTCTCGCACCGTGTCTGATACGACATGTCATTGTTGCTGGCTGAGCCTTGTAAGAACTTGAACTAATACGGCGTGAAACCCAAGATATGTATATACATATTAATGCATATGTATTTTAAAACACATACATATACAATATGTGTATATATGATTATATATGTAGCTATATAGATAAATATGTATTTGTGTCGTTAGATTTGTAAGTATAGTCAGCTTTTTGATCAGTTTTGCTGTGGAGCTGAGGCATTTTTGCAGCGTCGCAGCACAGTCAATGCAGTAGTGTCGACAACTGCGTTCCAGTTGGCTGCTAATGCACCTCAGGCAGATGCACATTCGTCACTCTACATTCGTCACTACATTCGTCACTACATTCGTCACTACATTCGTCACTACATTCGTCAATACGAGAACGACACAAGAGGAACACGCAATTTCGGTGTTAAAACGAGACATCAAAGTCCTCTTGTAGAGATTTCATTTTCAGGCAAGGCTTCACAAACTCCAAGTTGGACAGCAAGTCGAGCAAGTCATGATCTGCACAGCAATTTTGAACGCCACGTGAACTCACTGAATCTGGAGCCAGGCCGACCTTGTGCATGGGCTGCTGGAAGATATCCAGGCTTCCTTCCAAGGATTTGGCATGTGGCATTTTGTGAGTGGGTGTTGAAATTTTAAAATGATGAAAGCTCATGGTTTAGCCTCCAGTCTGTTCGGTTCTTGCTCTGATCAATCTGCTTGTTTGTTTGTTTGTTTGTTTGCTTGTTTGGGACTATTCACGTCTCTGCCCAAACATGAATATGGTTCTGTACTGATGTCTCGGTCACGTTGTCTTTGCTAGTTCTCCACAGTTGTGAAAGGAAGGAAAATAGATTGAGATGTTGCCTGTGACAAGTTAACATTTCAGAGATAGGTGCACTTTGAAAGCAGTTCTGACTCAAACTCTGAAGCAATGCTCAAGTTAAAAATAGTCACTTATGTGCTTACAGCCGCTTCTGGCCAGAGTTACAACCAAAGCTATCGCTCTTTTTGCTGCTGGACAGCACCATGGTTGGATCCACCTTAGCATGTGCCATCGCATCCAGCAACACTAACTCTTGCAATGAAAAGTGAGACGGGCTGAGCACCTCCGCTGAGTTCGATGACGCCAGGAAGGGTCACAAAAAACAAGGAGAGACCAGCAAGAACTGTCACGCAGGCAGACAGCATCCAAGCAGAATCCAGCGATGTGTCAAATTGTCAAATGCAAAAACCCAATGATGGAGAAGGTCACACCGGTCACACCGGTCACAACCATCCCCAACTGCTAGGTGTCCAAGCCCAAAGGTCCAAGGTGTTGCTGAAGGTATGGTTGTAGACACAGCATAGCGGCATAGCGCAAAGGTTCCTACCGAAATGTGGGCAAAGGCTCGGTCTTCGAATCCACCAACCAGGAGTGGTCCGCGGCATTACCAGCAGGCCAGCCAAAAGCCGCATCCACTTGATCATGGCTGCGCCTACGAACACCTCTAAAATGAACCCTAGAGATCTTGGCAGCCGGCCTGAATCACCCATAGTCCAAAAGTCACACTTTAGAAATCCAAAAATAAGAGCACAGCAACTAAAGTAACCAAGGCATGGCGTTTGCAACTCTCCCTTCGCTGTGGCAATGCAATGCTTCGTGCGCTGAAAACCTGGCCTGCAGCTCTGCATCGATTGGCAGGACTGGGTGCCCACTGGAGAGATCTGAATTGGGCATAGACTGTATCGACGGTATAGACAGTATAGACAATGAATAGAACATGATCAAGGAGGATAACTTTCATGCAGTATTCTGGATGTTTACAGATGTTTAGACTTTGTACTTCACATCTCTGCTTTGCACGGTTGCTTTCGGTGTTTTGATAGGCCAGTCATCCCAGAGCCTTGCTCCAGATGAAGTGCCTTGGCCCGGAACATCAAGTAGATGCGCCTGAGACTGCATTCGTGTTGTCAAAATCGCAGGTTTCGTTTGTCAAATGCCCTTGATATGCCACAGATATGCCACATCATCAAGTGGTTGCCAGCAAATTGCACAGCCCAGGTGTCCCACAACAGCGTTTGCGTCCATATGGCTGATGCGGCATGCTGGTTGCACGTCCTTCAATTGTTCACCCAGCAGAGGCTGGTTATACACAGAGTGTGAGATATCTTGTGCATCAGCTCCAGGTAGCAATTCATATATGCGATAGGAAGGCAGTGTGCTGAAATTCTGAAAGTTCTGAAAGTGAAAGTTCTTTCACCTCAATAAGGGCCTCTTTTGGCAGGCACCTTTGCCTGCAAGTTGACGTGATGGGATGTGGTAGTGGCATCACAGCCTTCGCCACATGTCTCGCAGCTTGGCTCCGAGGTTGTGGTTTGGGACGGAAACGCAAAATCCGGACAAACCACCAGCCTTGCCATCAGCATCGCAAGAAAAGAAACAGAAACTTTGAAGCACAACTGGATAGAATCTCTGGCGATACGTTGAAAACCACAGTCCGAGTATGATTGCCAGCTTCATTTATCTACCAGTGGCTCCTGTCCAACAAAAGAATGGCGTTGCAAACTTCCAAGCCTATTGTGTCCGTGTGGCCATTGGGCCATCGGTGGTAGTTTTTTCGGCTCCAGGTGCCTTTGTGGCGGGACGCCTTGACGATGATGAACTTTATGCGCTGTTCCTTGATCTCTGCAGAGGTCAGCTTGGGCCACGTCGTGGCGAGTCACTGCCATTGCGTCCGAACCATCTCTGACCTGAGATTCTAGATGATTCTAGCAGGTCTCTCTGATAGAGGGTTGCCCAAAAGGTTGAGACAAAGTTGCGTGGTCTGTTTAACCATACTTTTTCCAGCCCTAGCTTAGCCTCTTCTCACCAATGATGTGGACAAGAGTTCTATCCGAACGGCAGACATTTTTTTTCGCTGTTTTAACATCTTCATTGTCACATGGACAAACGAGACAGGGTTCAAACTGCAAGTGACAGAAAACCCCGGCAAAAAATACATGTCCTGACCTGCAGGTGATGAACCACAATGCTTCATGGATGCTTTAATGATTTGCTTTTGTTCTGCAGCCGATGCCAGTCCCCGCAGTGTCCTTCAAAGGATTCACTACAAGTTTGACCCTGACAGTGACTACAAGAAGTTTGGTGCAGAGGAATTATCATGATGGTTCTTCAGATCAGCTTGAAACAGATTGATCGCAGCATTGCGAAATTTGAAGTCAGTAGCATCAGTAGCATTGAAGCAAACTAAAGATTCAACTTGCGTCATTCAACTTGAATCCTTGGTTGCTGCCACCGAGTCTTTGATCTCTGCTTTGCGAATGGATGGGCAGTGGCGGCGGGCAGTTCTCCCACAACTGCCCGATGCAGTGACCACAGGTGCACTGATTTGGGTGCATGCTCGAATGTTTTTTTTTTGTTTTGTTAACTTGCAAATGCACCCATGAATTACAAACACCGTCATTGTCCGTCATTGTGATTCCTCTGTCTGAGAAGAGGTTGAAGTTACTGCCACGTATTGACGTATTGGGCTTTGCTTTGGCCTTTTCAGATCGGCTCAGGAGCCATTCTCTCAGCGCACCTGCAGGATTCTGATTGGCAGCGAGCTGTTGGTACCTTGAACTGGGCAGGAGGCTGCAGACTGGATGTCGATGCTGCTGGAGTGGAGGCTGCAGCTATGAGTTGTGGTCGTGAAGGACGGTGGTGCACTGCACTAGCATTGAAGAGCACTGCTCTGCAAGGGTCTGAGGCTGAGAAGATACGAGAGGGAAGTGATTATGCAGGCAGATGGTTTGAAACTGCTTGAAATCAGTTCAGATGAGAAGAACACGCATTGGCAGAAGGACCAGCAGACTCAGCACGCTGCATATTTGTTTGCCAACGGATTTAAAATGTGCCCAAAGAATCAAATTCAGAGGTACGGGCTTGAGCTACTGTGCCGCATGAACGGAAACGTTCACAAAAAAGGAAGGCCTCTGAATGCAACTTTTGTGTGCTTCCAAGTGTCAAGTGCAAGGTTGCCCTGGCAGAGAGCATTGGTTCTATCGCCAGTCACGCTGGAGACTGCAATGGCTGGTATGCAGGCTTGGGTTTGCAGCGTGAGAATTTGCGTGACATCACTCAACCTTTGGGCCTTTGGGTGGATGATTTTGGGTGATGTTCAAAGATGTTCAAAGCTTGAAAGTGGCGAGGCTTGCGTTTCGGAAGAGGCCTGGCAAAGGGCCCTGGCTATGTGCTCACGGATTCCTTGCGACAACGACGTTCCGCTGTTAACGATGAAGCTCCAGGCCTTTCAGGCGGGAAAAAGTCAGCAAGTAAATGCAACTAGTAGGCCAGAGCATGTGGAAAGTCCCCAGTTTTGATGTTGATGTCTGGTTTGGCATCTCTGAGTCTCTGATGGCAGGTTGGTTTCCAGAGCTTTTGGGCCTCCTCCACCTTGGCTCAGCTGCATGGTGCTGGTCTTCGCCATGTCCTGACCTCGATACCTCGATTCCTGGCCACATGGGATTCCAAACTTTCAGTCTCCAGTGGCCCCAAGGTTCAAAGCCTCCGATGACCAGCGGAGCAGCATACAGGTCATATCAGCAAATATGGTGGACGTTGAAGCCGGAGGTGCATCAGCAAGGTGTGGCCTTGGCTACAAAAATGTGATCTCTCAATGGCTTGCCTAGCTTGCCACAAAGGCCCCTAAAAAGCTTGTGAAGAAGGTACTTGTGTAGACTCTGGCGAAGTTGGAGACCATGGGTGACCATGCGTCACATATTCTGCAGGTGGTGGACACAATGATGGAGATGATGATGGAACTTGATGAAACAGGTGGAAGGAAGAAGGAAACAGAGGGCTGCCCCAATGGCAATGGATGCAGATGGATCCCAACTCTCCCGCTGACACATGGGACATTCAAGTGCATCGTATTTGCTCACATCGTGGTTTGCTCGGTTTTTGGGCAGGGGCATTGCGCAAGCTTATGGTGATAGGCTTTCCGGTTTTCCACAGCCTCTGTTACCAGACTCTCACAATTGCAGCGGCTGATATCATGTGGAATTGCAGGTTGGCATGCCCTGACATATCTACCGCATTGAGCTGAAAGCTGAACTCTGGAGTAAACTCTTTGTGTTTGCTGGCTTTGCGGCGCCTGTTTCGCTTCAACTGACACAGCAAATTTCAGGGAGCAGATTTCAGATGTCAATGGGCTGGCTTCGATTGGTACAAAATGTACAAAATATTCATGGATCTTGAAGGATTTCCACTACTGGTAGTAGTTGAAAGCAGTTGCACGTTGGAAACAGAACCTAAGGGAGCAGCTACATCCTGTGAGCTTTCGGGCGCAGTGCTCCTTCAGCTTTGACCCTATTGAACTCTGAAGGGGCGATACTTTTTGGAGGACTTTGGAGGCATTCAAAAATTGACCAACATGTTTCACCTTTCCGAGCCGGAAAACGTTGGACTGTCCAGGGTTGAGGCCTGTGAGAGCTAGACACCTGATTTGGATGATTCCGGCACTTTCGATGTATGGCATGCTCGGAAGGTCAACTGGTTGGGGACTGGAGCTCGCCTGGCCTTTCTTGAGCCAATTTCACAAGGAAGGTGATGATAGGGGATAATGGTTTGCGATGGTTGATAGCCAGAAGAACGGTGTCATCATCAGTGTCGTGGTCACTGACATCCAAAATGTTGATCAGTATCACTCACATTCATCGTTGCTGAAGTGGCTGCCCGAAGAGGTGGTAAGCCCCACTGGGACTGGAAACGATACTGCGCCAGAAACCTCGTGCTTGAAAAAGTCCCAGCGATGCTGAAATGATGAGTTGTGGCATCAGCATTGATTGATCATCAAGCCACAGCCGTGAGATCGACATTGAGCCGTGACATGAATTGCGGATTGCAAAAACAGCTTTTGCTGAGCATGGTATGGTTAAGTTGAATAGTAAGGGCATGGAATGCAATGGTTCTCAGGCATCACAGTTGTCAGAGGACAGCACAATTGTGCTTCTAAAAGGGCAAAACTTTTTGGTGATTTCTGAGCAAGTTGGAGTGACTCTCACAAAATTCGCAGTTGGCTCAGAGTTCACTTTAACAATTGAAAGGCAGTCAGCAGCTCTCAAATTCTCAAGACACCCAATGCCAGACATATCAACTCCCTGGGACACAGCAATTTTAGGACCCACCCCATGTAATTTCGAGTCCTTTCCTTCTTTAGATCTCGAAGCCTTCAGTAGAGCCCAAGCGCCGTTCAAGCAAGTTCGGCTTTAGGATGTCAGCGCCTCAGATGCCTCTGAGCTGCAGTGCAGATCGTGAAAAGTGTCTTGGAATGTGGGCAAAGGTACCATTTGGACACCATCAGATTTGTTGAACGGATTCTTGCAAGATGACATAAATAGTCACGGACTTTCACTCACAAACATGGACTAGGTCAGATCAAGTGGCAGAATCTGCCAGTGGTTCGAATCCCAGTGGTTGCTTGGACAGACCCGTTTTTTGTGCATGTCACATGTCAGTGTGGCTTTAGGTTCCAGAAAGGGAAGTCGCGGCAAGGGAAAAGGCAAGCGGAGGCGAGACATTTGTTGAGGGACTGCTTGGCCATGGAACTTCCATTTGAAGCCTGCGCTCTACTACTCACAGCATGGTGGCAGGAGCACTGGCAGTGAGTCTCGTCTGAGACTCAAGTGCAGGTTCCTTCTGGATACCAACATTTTGGAGCCGGCAGTTGAAAGCTTCCATCGCAAGTTTGCTTGGGCTCAAAGAGGTTGATGACAAACGGAGTTTGTTGGAGCTTCAATCTCTGAAGTGTCAGACTCTGTTTGGAAGAACAATCTCACTGAACTCAGGTGGCGCAGATTCATCCAATTGGCGTGTGCGTGAGCAACCGGAGTCAGGTGGTGCAGATTCATCCACTTGGCGGGCAGTACGTGAGCCCGAAGTGGAGGCATCAAGATGGTTGGGACACGGAAAAAGAGTTTTTGTGTGATGTTCCCTCTGCATGCCACCAATAGGCCTCGGCACCCGCAACGGAGTCCCAACAAGGAGGCGAAGGCCAGTCCTGTGTTTTTCTTGTGGCTAAAACAAGAAAGCCTGGCGCAGTTGAATCTGAACTCAGGTGATAGAAAAAGACAACCAGGTGGAAAAGGCTTGAGTTTAGAAGTTCTCAAAGTCACTCTGCAATGCATGGTAATTTAATTCCTGCTGCAGGAAAAGGGAAAGGCAAGAGCAAACACAAAAACAAAGAAAGAAATGACGGCTGCCTGCTCAGCACAGGAGCCATTTGTTTGCTGTCTTGTCGCCGTCAGTCGTCTCAACCAATCCACCCACAGTTTTTTCGTGCCAAGGTGATGAGGGATTCAAAGATCAAAGCAAAGACACCAAGAATCCCAGCCAGGTCCTTCTTCAAGCTTGTTGAGCTGCGGATCAACGGGTGTCATTCTTCCCTCTTGGAACAACTTTTTGGTGCTGGATTTGGGTGTTACCAAGAAGTGGAACCCCCAAAAATCGACCAACATGATTTTAGTGGAAGGAACCAATTGTCGGGGTGTTCCCCATGTTTGGACACGTCCACAAAACCAGTAAACCAGCTTGTCATGATTTGCAGGTGCGCAAGGAGCGAAAAGCACCAGAACTGTCACGGATGCAAACTCCAGAGTATGGCTCCGCCTGGAGCTTGGGACTTGTCAGCTTTGCGTCATGAGACTGTTGAGATTGTAGGAGCGGCAGAAAACCAAGGGTGATGTCAGCTCTGTGAATCTCATTTGACCAAGGTCACAGAGAGGCTTGCAGATCAACTGTCCCGAGGTGCTATTGCGCCCATGGTATAGCATATGTGAAATACAATATTACTATGCCATATGTTCATGTCGAGTGATTTACACATAAGATAGTGCCGGGCACACGCCGGGGCAGAAGTTTCGAACATAGAACATAGGAAGTGACTATAGGAAAGGGAGGACATATAGGAATTGTTTGTGAGTTGGAAAAAAGGTTCGGCGCAAAAGCCAGTGGATCAAGTATTGGATATAGGAAGCGACGGAGCAAACCGATGGCAAACACAAAAAGACGGAAAACAACCATCGACATGACAGCAAGATGTGCAAAACCGAGCCGGTGTTGAGCGAGGCGTGGGCAGAGTTGAGCCCACCACAACGTAAGGAAAGAGGGGGGGTTGCCAGATCGAGGCCCGCACCCGTGGAAACAGAGACCCCACTTCGGCGACCCAAGAGCCACATTACCCGAAAAAAGGCAGGGTTTCGCGCCTGAGAGCGTTTTAATCCGTGAGCTCACGCGTTCCCCAACTGTTGCTCTTCTCTGCTGCTCGCACATGCGAACTACTCTTGCTCACTATATGTGGTTGACATGATGGCAAGACTGCCCCTGGACATTTGTCTGTAATTCCGTAATTCGGAAATTTTCGAACTAAACTTCCTTTGATGAATGGGAGGTATCTATTTATAAAGACATGCTGTCATCTCAAACACAATGGTCTGCCTGCTTTTCTTTGGATCCGAGTCTAGGGTCAATCGAAAACAACCCATCATGTCGCCGAGCAAAGTTCTGCGTTTGTTCTACAGATCGAACAATGCTTTGAGGCTTTGACACTAGTGACCGTGGCAGGAACTTATGACTGCATGATTTGCCTCAACAAGGCCCGGGCAGCTGTAACTGTAGCTGTCTATCTTTCAAAATGAGCCTTTTGTCCTTCGCTAGGTGAAGCCTAGCCACCAAATCTGGCCATGTGACCAGTGTTGGGCAGTGTATTGACCCTAGACTTATGTAGCAGCTGGATGCCTTTCGGTTTCAAAACACAGGACACAAACCGAGCCAGCGTACTGCAGGCAATACTGTAGGGTTCCTGTCGTAGCTGAATTGCTTAACGGTCTCTGGTGATATTCTCTTTTGAAACAGAAGAGTCTGTGTAGGCACTGATTCTACAGACCAGACTTACTAAGAATAAGTGCTCGTGCACGGTGGAAGAAGTAGACGCTTCATTGCGCATTATGCACATGCAGTTAAATGAGTTGTGAGGTTTCACTTAAAGTGCATCAAGAGTTGGATTCAGCGTTGCAACAGCGCTGGTGGTCTTGAGTTCGACTGGGCATGCCCAGGCTGGGATGGGGCTGCTATTGGGGGATTCATGACAAAGTGACATAATGTCACGCTTCTCAGCATTTCAGCGAAAGGCTGCCGATACCATCGTGTGGATCTGATGCCGAAGTGCGCGTATGAGCATGAAGACGCAAGCAGTCGTAGTTCCATTTGTAATTCCATTCGGCAAACCATGCGGAATGACCATGTGGAATGACCATGATGTTCCAGTGTGTAACACAATGCAGGTACAGCTGCTATTGTAAGAAGTTGGATGAGCCAGAGTTGAATCCGCACTGGCCACCTGGCAAAGTCTCATCAGGTCATCATGCTTTGGCAAATGTATTATACGTGTAAAATCAAAATGCATCAGATGTATATGAGAAAAATTGAAATGCTGATGTGTAATACTGTCTCATCATATTGAAGCCACCTTATGTGATCGCGCATGCCATATGTTTGTGTGAAACTGATATCCGCTGTGCATATTGACCCTTGGCTTGGTCGAGAGATGCTGAGGTTGGCCCATAGCTGTGGCGATGCAAGGAGCTAAGACAATGCACAGTTCTGCATTGAAGAACAGAGCGATGTGTGGCCATCTTGAGAGACTGCATACAAGAACCAGACCTTTTCAGTGCACTCTCAAAGGTCATTGAAAGACCCTCGTTACACCCCTGTAGCTTCGAGGTTTGCGAGAAGGATAGAGGATGTCGTTTGCTTACATTGTACTTATTGGCCGTTTCAGAAGGAAATCTAGATATCGAGAGCTTTTTTGAGCTTTGAGGGTAGAACACCAGATCCAGTGACAACTGCGAAGCCCTCTCGACTCGCATCTTTTGGAAATTGATCAAGCCGAGTGACCAATTGGAGAGAAGGAAGGCATCGACATTGGACGGACTCTGGGAATCTCTTGTAAATTGCATTCCTCTTCCGAAAGGTCCACATAAGTGTCCTGAGTTGTGTCATCCGGGGCCCTGCCCTAGATGCACGGCAGTGTGGTGCCTCAGGAACCTTGTGGAATCTTTAAATGAAATCAGGGCAATATTGCAGCACTGTAGGACGAACATGCCGTGTCTCAAACTGCATGGCGTGATCAAGACTTTACATCCAGATTGTTGCTTTTCCGTTGATATGTTTTTGTTGAACGTTTTCGAATGGTCTCAACAATTCCGCTTTCCACTTCCTGACACGTCGCAGGTCGGTGGTCCGGGCCGCTGTCACTGCGGCAAAGAATCCTCAGAGACGACAAGGCCAAATTTCTGCCAATGAAGCGGTTTAGGCTTTAGTGAAATTAAAAATGGGTTTGGCATCTTACAGACGTCCCAATTTGCAAGCTTCAGGATTGATGGCTACCACAGCAATCCCAAAACTGTGATGAATCAAAGTGCCATACCGCTTTCCATGTGACAACAGGTGTGGTGACCCAAAGCAATGGTCCTGTGGTGCACCTTGTGGGCGAACCCTGAGCTGCAGTGTGATGCCAAGTCGAAACTGTTGAGCTGTGCAGATTCCGAAAGTGCTCGGCTGGTTTCGGTTTTTTTTGGGATGTGCTGAGGTCTGCATTCTTGCAAAGCCAGGCGTGAAAGCATAGCTGACCTTTGCTGACCTCTTGACTTTGCAGGTATTGCGTTTCCATCCATTGCTCAGGAGCCTTTTTTGGGCTCATAGCAGCTGTGATCTTTGGACACGCCAGGTGTCACCAAGGGCCGTGTCCGCCTTGTGCCGAGACGTCTCAAGAAAGCTGCTACTGTGGAAAAACTGAGGTCAGCGCGGGCACGTGAGGAGGGTCAAAGGTCAACGCATGCAAACGAAAATTAGATCGTATCATTGCATCACTCATATGTACAAATATATCCCCCTTACCATTTCCACTACTAAAAGGGTGAACACGTGCTTGGTACCATCCTCTGATTCGTGGATAATTCAAGCAAGAAAAATGGACCCGTGCACCAGTTTTTGTAGTAAAAGGGTGTGCACTGTATCTTGTAGCGGCGTTCCATTTTATACTCATAAATCGGAAACGCATTTTGTAGTGATTTATTTTGGGATGCGTTGTGTCGTGCCGGAAACCCTATAGCCCTCTTTTACCAGTCATGCTCGGTAATATGAACATATAGCTTGGACCCTCAGACCATTTTTGGCTCTTGACTCACGATTATTTCGTGGTAAGATGAGCCCCCAAAAAATCGAAAAAAAAACAAATAAGGTAGAGACTTTAAGACGGAAAAATGGGACAGACTTGGTTTCAAAACCCATCAATTGAATTTGAAGTTGTGCGCTCAGATCGTTTTTAGCTCTGACGATTGCAGTTCAAAACCTCTGCGCCGTGCTTTTGTCACACCTTTTTTGGCCATCACATGCGATTATTACTTAAAATCTAAATCTATCCCATTCTACTAGGTTCCTGCTCTTTTTGTCCAATAGTCAAGTTTCACCCAAGTTCAACGAATCCATGCTCAGAGTTCCTTTCACCCACAATGTCACAAAGCACAGATTCGATGCGTGGTGTCCTAGTTTCTGGATGACTTGTGTCATGCACTGCATTTTGTAGTGACACACGCGTGCACAACCTTTTGTAGAACCTTCTGCGCCCCCCTCCAGATAAGCCCCAAAAAGTTCGAAAAGCATACTTTTTATGTAGAGACTTTAAGAAGGAAAAATGGGACAGATTTGGTTTCAAAACCAATCAATTGAAACTGAAGTTGTGCGCTCAGATCGTTTTTGCTGCCCCATAGCTCTGACGATTGCAGTTCAAAACCTCTGCGCCGTGCTTTTGTCACACCTTTTTTGGCCATCACATGCGATTATTAATTGAAATCTAAATCTATCCCATTCTACTAGGTTCCTGCTCTTTTTGTCCAATAGTCAAGTTTCACCCAAGTTCAACGAATCCATGCTCAGAGTTCCTTTCACCCACAATGTCACAAAGCACAGATTCGATGCGTGATGTCCTAGTTTCTAAATGACTTTTGTCATGCACTGCATTTTGTAGTGACACACGCGTGCACAACCTTTTGTAGAACCTTCTGCGCCCCCCTCCAGATAAGCCCCAAAAAGATCGAAAAACATGCTTTTTATATAGAGACTTTAAGGAGGAAAAATGAGACAGATTTGGTTCAAAACCGATCAATTGAATTTGAAATTGTGCGCTTAGATCGTTTTTGCTGCCCCATAGCTCTGACGATTGCAGTTCAAAACCTCTGCGCCGTGCTTTTGTCACACCTTTTTTGGCCATCACATGCGATTATTAAATAAAATCTAGATCTATCCCATTCTACTAGGTTCCTGCTCTTTTTGTCCAATAGTCAAGTTTCACCCCAGTTCAACGAATCCATGCTCAGAGTTCCTTCCACCCACAATGTCACAAAGCACAGATTCGATGCGTGATGTCCTAGTTTCTGGATGCCTTGTGTCATGCACTGCATTTTGTAGTGACACACGCGTGCACAACCTTTTGTAGAACCTACTGCGCCCCCCTCCAGATAAGCCCCAAAAAGTTCGAAAAGCATGCTTTTTATGTAGAGACTTTAAGAAGGAAAAATGGGACAGATTTGGTTTCAAAACCAATCAATTGAAACTGAAGTTGTGCGCTCAGATCGTTTTTGCTGCCCCATAGCATTTCCCCTAGTAAATGCTATGACCCATTTAGTAGCGAATCATTATTTTTCATTGCAACCCGTTTTCACTACAAAATGGTTCCGTAAAGTCATTTTGTAGTGACCGACATTGGCTTTTGATCCATCATAAAAACACCCAAACCATTTTGTAGCAAGGGGGGTTGGTTCAGATTCAAGCGTCATTTTGTAGTATAAGGCTGTGTTTGTAAACGGTTTAGTGGGCACAACTTCTCTGCAGAATGCACACAGGGATACAAATATAAGGTTCTGTCGAATAGATAAGTTGTCATGTAGTGTGGTGTATGATTTGATATGATTTGATATAGGACTTGACAGGATTTGATTTGAGAATATCTGATATGATGTGATGGAACGCCATAATGTAATATGTTATAGAATGGGCTAGCGCCCGGGTGCCGCCGACCCCTCTTTTCTGGTGGGGAGGCACGGGTTGTACTCCGTGTCACGCGGAAGCAGTTTCGATTGGCTCCAGGGTTTGCCACGACCGCCCACGCAGCCCAAGGGCAAACTTGCAAAGAAGGCGTTGTCATGGACATGCACATTGGCGACACTGGCGACCCATTGACGGCGTACATTGCGTTATTGTGTGTCCAAGACAGGCATGGTTTGTTTGTGTACAGACCCTTCCCTGCAGCACCGTTTCAAAAGGGCGCAAAAGTAGGGAAGGAATTGAGGCGCGTGGCAGACAGGAAGGCAGCAACCGGAGGCAGAGGGCGGTGCGGCCGACGAAGGCAGCAAAAGCCATGGCCAAAGGCAAGATTTTCCAATACGTGTGTCCGCATTGCAATCAGTCTGTGAGCAGCACTATACGAAGAGGCCAAGTCGATCACCGCCGCACATGCGGTAACTCTTTCGGAGTCAGGGAAGGACGCCCCTTTGCGAAAGCATATGATTACGTCTGTCCCACGTGCAATGGGCATGTGGCCAGTAACGTGGCGACAGGGCAAACAGACCATCGACAAGTCTGTGGGAACAAATTTTCTGTGAAGGATGGGGTTGTTAAACAGAAAGGCTTAGTTTACAGGTGTCCATTTTGCAAGGGAAGTGTGAGAAGCGATGTCAGGACAGGGCGAATCAACCATCGAACAGTCTGTGGTAACCAATTTTGTGTGAAGGATGGCGTTGTTAAAGAGAAAGGCTTAGTTTACAGGTGTCCATTTTGCAAGGGAAGTGTGAGAAGCGATGTCAGGACAGGGCAAATCAACCATCGAACAGTCTGTGGTAACCAATTTTGTGTGAAGGATGGCGTCGTTAAAGAGAAAGGCTTGTTTTACAGGTGTCCATTTTGCAAGGGAAGTGTGAGAAGCGATGTCAGGACAGGGCAAATTGACCATCGATCCGGGTACGGCAACCGGTTTTATGTCATGGACGGTGCGGTCAGCAAGAAAACACGGTGTCATGCGCACAGTTGCCCGGTGTGCTCAACTGTTGTTTGGTCATCGCAGTCATGTGGGCGCATTGCGGTCACGCATGACACGCCGTCGGGAAAACGATGCCAGATGAAACATTGGCACGTTCCCGACAAAAAGGCAAAGAAAAAAAGGAGATGAAATAGAAAGACGCTGCACTTGCTTTAGGGGAACGGCAAGCGTGAACGCCGTAACAACAGATGGCTATGGCGTGTATCCCTGCCGCGAAGCATTTGAGATGTTGGAAGGCTGGCAAACGGCAGGCTTGAACGCCCTACCAACAGAGGGCTATGGAGGCAGCAACGCTCGAACAGCAGAGGGCTATGGAGGCAAACGGCAGGCTGCAACGCTCGAACAACAAATGCTTGTGGCCAGAGTGCTTGGTGGAAGCTGCCGCGAGGGATTTTAAGCATTTTGAGCGTTTTAGGGGTTTCAAGGCTGTCAAACGGCAGGCTTTAACGCCCTAACAACAGAGGGCTATGGAGGCAAACGGCAGGCTGCAACGCTGGAACAACAATGCTTGTGGCCAGCGTGCTTGGTGGAAGCTGCCGCGAGGGATTTAAATTTAAAGCATTTTGAATGCTCGAACAACAAATGCTTGTGGCCAGAGTGCTTGGTGGAAGCTGCCGCGAGGGATTATAAGCATTTTGAGCGTTTTAAGCGTTTTAGGGTTTTTAGAGGTTTTAAGGCTGGCAAACGGCGGCTATGGAGGCAAACGGCAGACTGCAACGCCCGAACAACAAATGCTTGTGGCCAGAGTGCTTGGTGGAAGCTGCCGCGAGGGAGTTAAAGCATTTTGAGCGTTTGGCTGGCAAACGGCAGGCTTGAACGCCCTAACAACAGAGGGCTATGGAGGCAAACGGCAGGCTGCAACGCTGGAACAACAAAGCTCGAACAACAGAGGGCTATGGAGGCAAACGGCAGGCTGCAACGCTGGAACAACAAATGCTTGTGGCCAGCGTGCTTGGTGGAAGCTGCCGCGAGGGATTTTAAGCATTTTGAGCGTTTTAAGCGTTTTAGTGGTTTTAGAGGTTTAAAGGCTGGCAAACGGCAGGCTTGAACGCTCTAACAACAGAGGGCTATGGAGGCAAACGGCAGGCTGCAACGCTCGAACGACAAATGCTTGTGGCCAGAGTGCGTGGTGGAAGCTGGCGCGAGGGACTTTAAGCTTTTTGAGCGTTTGGAGGCAAACGGCATGTTGCAACGCGGAACAACAAACGCCCTAACAACAGAGGGCTATGGAGGCAAACGGCTTGAACGCCCTAACAACAGAGGGCTATGGAGGCAAACGGCAGGCTGATCGAAGCTGCCGCGAAGCATTGAGGCATTTGAAGCCAAGAAAAACAAGTTCCACACCTGCGGTGGTCCCAGGCGCCGCCCCTGCTTTGGTGAAGGCCGGGGTCGGCGGATAGTACAGCACAATTTAATACTACATATGATATATATATTTTTTTAAACTTATGTTACGTTTAATACAGCATTATATATTTTCATATGCTACCATATAATATAATGAAATGGAAAACGCCTTCATTTAACCTGATTTGATATTTAAGGGCTGCCGCCCCTGCCGCCGACCCCGGAAGCAAGTATGGTGGATTAGCTACATTTGGTTACTTGTTGAAGCAGGGAAATCTTGGTACCAACCTAAGAAATATATCAAAGTGATTGCGTAGCGCAGGCTCCGCCGGCGTCACGTCAAAAGTCGCCGGAGTA